CCTCGCCCGCCTCCGGAATCGCGCCCGCGGGTGCCTTTCCCAGCCATTCCTCCCGGGGGCGCCCTCAATTCCTGCCCCTCTTTGTTCCTTACAACAATGGCCGAGAGCCACTGAGTCCCCAAAGGGCCAAGGGAGCCTCCTTCTCCGGGAGTTTCCACCCGCTGGTCCGTCCAAGCGCGAACTGGATCCGCAGCCAAGGTGACATAAGCCTTGCCACTGCTAGGGCTTCTTGGCAATGGCTTCTGAGAGCCCCCACCCCAGAAGCCCCTCGGGTGGGCCAAGGGATGGAAGAGGGAAGAAGAAACGGGCTGGGAAACCGGAGCCCCAGATCCCTTAGCCTTTGGGGTGGGGTGCGAAAGAAGGCACCGCAGCCCTAATGAAAGAGCAATTTCTTTATTACACGGTGCTGAGCCAGCCTCTGGCCAGCTCAGGGGGATTCAAAGCAAGGCCCCCTTTTAAGTACCCCCTTCCTGCAAACAGACCTCAAGAGCCCATCCTCCTAGGGGTAATCTGCAAATGGTCTCCCGTTCTCGTTGATGTGTGTATTGCCTTCAATGCGCTGCACAGTCGCTGTTCAAACCGTTCAATAGGTGTGAGGGGAAAAGGGTGAAAAATGAGCGTTCGTCTGTGTTGTGTCTGCCTTAGAAACCATTCCTATATGAAGCACCAACTAAACTCCAGACAACTCCTCAGTAACAGGAAGTTACCTCTTAACTCCTTTGTTTGGAAAACTCTTCTAATTTGCCAACTAAACGTTCAAAGCTCCAAGGTTTGGAACCAATCGTGTTGATTTTTAGAATTGCGCGATCCCAAGGTTATCAGACAAAGAAATCCGGGCACTGCCCCCGATCAAAAAGCTGATCTTGAATCACATAATCCACACCTTTAAAAACCTCCCTTTCCGGTATCCACATTTCCTTGAAAAACCTACCCGGTTCTCCTCTCCTCGGGTTTCCTCCCCGCCCCTGTTCTGCTCATCTGCATCCATTTAATGCCACGCTTTAGACATTATTAATGGTTTCCGCTGTTCAGACCTCTATAAAAGAATTTACCTCCCTGGATCCAAAATGTTCCCAAGAGTCTGACCCTACTCCCACGCCATTCCATCTTCTGTCTAGTTCCCAGGGCAACCTAGGTCTGCCGTGGCCCAGCGGGTGGTACACCCTGCCAGCTACTGTCTGGGCCAACTCTGTCTGCGGTCCCTGTCTCCTGCCAGCAGAGCAGGAGGTAAATCCTGTCTTAGGCAACTTCAAACGCAAGATATCTGTAACTTGTCCAAAGAGGGAGGGATATGCAGAAACTCAACCATCTTTCTTTAAAAGCGTGTTTCATTCTTAGGAAATAACCTCCGAGGCAGATGCAGCCTGGTAAACACCTTGGAACGTGGTACATTGCTCAGAGATGGGCACAGAAGGAGAGCCACTCAACTAACCTACCTCAACTCAAAAACTCAACTCTCACTCCCTTGGTGTCAATGCCGACTCATAGGGAGCCTATAGGACAAGGTAGAACTGCCCCTGTGGTTTCCGATGCTGACGCTCTTGACGGGAGTAGAGAGCCCCCTTTTTCTTCCTCATAGCGGTTGGTGGTTTCGAACTGCCCAATGCGTAACCACGACGCCACCAGGGCTCCCAGGTAAAACTACCTCAAGCGCCAATTGTTGATCTAGTGGACATAATGTAAACGGGAGGAAAATACGGGCCCCACTTCATGTAGTTTACAGCTCCAAGCTGACGAGGTAAAGTATACCTGCAGACAAAGCAAGGTCAAAATGATCAGTATTGGCAAGTAAATAGGAAAACCTGTTTTCACATGCTGCTGATTCAAAGTGTAAGTGGACACTGCTGACCCAAAGGACAGCATGGCACTATCAGAATTAATCAAGCCCTCGTCCTGTGACCCGCAGTTAGTTCCCTTTGTGGGTCTGCATCCTAGAAAAACAGGTACCTGTGTGCCCAGCTTGTGTATTGCATGGTACTGGTGGCTCAGAAACACAGAAGGCCACGTCACAGCCATGGCGAGGAGATGGCTCGTGGTTAAAGCTCTCAGCTGCTATCTGAAAAAGCTGGAAATTACAGGCCACCCGAGAAGCCCCTTGGGAAAACAGCCTGGCGATTTATTTCAGAAAAATCAACCGCTGAAGTCAGCGGGAGCTCCAGATGTGCTTCCACCCTCCTTCTGCCCGGTTCTCTCCCTCTCCTCGACCTAACCCCTGCACCATAAAGCTAGGCTACTTTCCTCCCTTCCAGCCTGAACTTGTCTTCCAAAACTACTGTAGCATTGTGTGATTTTAGCTACACATTGCCAATCAATTTTTTTAATCATTTTATTAGGGGCTCATACAACGCTTATCACAATCCATACACACATCAATTGTGTAAAACGCATTTGTACATTCATTGCCCTCATCATTCTCAAAACATTTCCTCTCCACTTAAACCCCCGGCATTAGGTCCTCATTTTTCCTGTCCCTCCCCGCTTCCCCCTCATACAACTCTTATCACAATCCATACATACATCAATTGTGTAAAGCACATTTGTACATTCATTGCCCTCATCATTCTCAAAACATTTCCTCTCCACTTAAACCCCCGGCATTAGGTCCTCATTTTTCCCCTCCCTCCCCGCTCCCCACTCCCTCATGAGCCCTTGATAGTTTATAAATTGGTATTTTGTCATATCTTGCCCTGTCCGACGTCTCCCTTCACCCACTTTTCTGTTGTCCGTCCCCCAGGGAGGAGTTCACATATAGTTCCTTGTAATCGGTTCCCTCTTTCCTACCCACTCTCCCTCTACCCTCCCTGTTTCGCCACTCACTCCACTGGTCCTGTAGGGCTCATCCGCCCTGGATTCCCTGTATTTTCAGTTCCTATCTGTACCAGTGTACATCCTCTGGTCTAGCCAGACTTTCAAGGTCAAATTTGAGTCATGGTAGTGGGAGCGGGGAGGAAACATTTAGGAACTAGAGGAAAGTTGTATTTTTCATCATTGTTACATCGCACCCTGACTGGCTCATCTCCTCCCCGAGACCCCTCTGCAAGGGGATCTCCAGTGGCCTACTAATGGGCTTTGGGTCTCCAGTCCACACTCCCCCATCATTCAGTATGGTAAGATTTTTTGTTCTGATGATGCCTTACACCTGATCCCTTCGACACCTCGTGGTTGCATAGGCTGGTGTGCTTCTTCCATGTGGGCTTTGTTGCTTCTGAGCTAGATGGCCGCTTGATTACCTTCAAGCCTTTAAGACCCCAGACGCTATACTTTTTGATAGTCAGGCACCATCAGCTTTCTTCAACACATTTGCTTATGCACCCATTTGTCTTCAGTGATCCGTTCGACACCTCGTGATCACACAGACGGATATGTTGTTCCATGTGGGCTTTGTTGCTAATCTTTTTTGCTGTTGTTGTTGTTGCTAATCTTAATGTACTTGTCTGTAATTATCCCAGCAATATAGAAATGAATTCAAATTATAAACTTAAAAATATCATAAATAATGGTTAAGGAGCAATGCGGGAGAAAGATGAGGCTTTCTACTGCTGTAAAAAGTGACAGTCTTGGGAACCTATGGGAGCAGTTTTGCTCAGTCCTGTCAGGTCACTGTGAGTCAGAAACGATTCAAGGACAGTGTTTGGTTTCGGAAGGAAGGAGATGATTAATAATATGGCTAAAATCTACCTTGACAACCCTCTCTTATTCTTGTCTATTTTAGTAGGTGTATTCTCGACTTTCTCTGTATGTTTAGATATACATTTTTACTTCCAAAATGATAAGTTTTGTCTTATTTTTAAATACATGATATCATTCACTGTTTATAACGTTTATTATTATTATTAATAATGTCTTGGTGATCTTTCTATCAGTAGAAATACGTTTGCCTCATTCTTCTTAAGTCCTTTCGAATATCTCGGAAAACCAATGCACCTGAGTTCCTAACACCACCATTTGCTGTCTTCTTGACTTCAACTGGC